TATATATATATATATATATATATATATATATATATATGTATGTATAGTTAGATTTGTTTCACTTGAAAGTAATTGCAGTGGACTACATTATTAGTAGTATGTGGCAGCGGCGGTGGTGGTTACGCGGGCGCACGTGTGTGTAGGGGTGTTGCGCTTTGGTTACGTTTGTAGAAAACAATGCAAGAGAAGAGACAAATCCGCTTTTTGTGTACTTTGGGAGTGGCGGCGACGGCGATGGATGCTGATTGGAAGATGGGATCTGTCAGGTGCCACGTCATTGGTTGGATTGAAATCACCAATCATTCCGCACCACTGAAGGAATTCGGGCAGGGATCTGTGTGGGTTGGAAGGCACACGAGAACAGGGGGAGGGGATCAAGGAGTTAGTGCGGTTGTCCAAGCGGTGGATGAGGTGGAGGCGATTTTACAGAACTATACTCCTTCAGGAGAACACAGAGGTTCGCGGTGCCGGGGATTAATTCTATTACGGAGATGAGCGACTCCAGTGGGTTAGTCTCTGTCGAAGGCCTTGAAGCAAACCACGAACTCAACATCCGTCTCGCAGCTACTGTGGCCCCTGTCGTCTCCTTGGTTACATCATCATTTTCGTGTTCGCTGGAATTTTCAAATCGTTGAAGTGCTTCGTCGCTATAGCCTGAAACACATAAAGCCGGAGGAAAATGACTAGGGGCCGGGAACCAGCTGCAAGCTTATTGGTTAGAAATTATCTTGATTGATATAATCACCGCACACGACGAAAAATATGACAAACCGATCTCGATTCTTAAGTCTGATCACTGCTTCGAGGGTGTTATTGACTTTTTTTCAAAATCAATAAGTTATTTAGATAACCTACCCAACATTCCACCAACTTGTTTCCATCGGTCATCGGCTGAAAGAGCCTGGGACAGTTCTTCCATGAGCTCAGAGGATATCGGTGGCCGTTGTGGTAAACCTACAACCAAAAACAAGACATTTTAGAATTTACTAATTCCTACAAAGTTTGATAAATCAATAGATCAATTTGTCCGACGTCTACAATATACTTTAGCCAATAGAAACATCCTCAAATTACCCCAGTTTCTGCCGGACTGAGCTAGTTAGTTACTCAATGGCTTAAGTGGTTTGGTTGAGTCATTTTAAAATCTGTCTCTACGTGAACCACTTTTTAATTACCCGTCCGAATCCACGTGAAATCGACCTCCGTTTCTTAATGGCGTCAAATTATCGATTTTCTGCCTGCTTGATTCTGATTGGTCAAAATGAGCGTGTGAATGATTGGATGCAAACTCACTTGAATACTGCGTAGACTCGCTGAGGAGGTGTTGACGCACACAATCCGGTCGCGAGGCCGCGGACGCCTTCTGTTTGCTCAGACTGCTGTGTCCGCTCGTCGCCGCGGACACTGAGCGCGACTTGGTCAGTTCAGCGAATGCCGGATGCAGTGCGTTGCCACCTGCCGCCTCCACCATGCCTGCTTTGGCGTCGACGGCGGTGAGGTGCTGCTGCCAGAGCTTGTAAAAGACGTAGATGAGGAGGGTGAGGATAACCAGCCCGAGGAGGGAGCAATAGACGGTGATCATGGGGTAGTCGTCGCCGTAGGCAACGTGATCAGGCATCTGATCGCCAGTGGCCTGTCTTCGATTCGTCTGCGATGGTTCATCTACATGGAAAATGCAAAGGCGTTATTTAGTCTGGGTTGAATCCCTTGAGAACATGGACACTATGATGTGACATGTTGTAGCATCCCACGATGATGCCTCGATCACTTTAACTTCTCCGCAGATATACACTCTGAGTGTCGTAGTCTGAGCGTTCTCGCGACGGCGTCTCAAAAATTACCTTATCAATATCTTGTTGAGGCACACTGGGGGACAGGAAAGACCTCGTATGATGTGAATGCCGTCTGCCTGGTTTCAGGCCAACGAATTTGTTGGGGAACACGGATTCGCCAGACAGTGAAACCTCGGCTTTTCCATAAACCAGGCCACATTTGCCGGCGTGCTAAAACGCGCAGCAGATTGGATTGCACAGCAGTCCCCTTCCTGAGTTGGTCGGACAAATTCGGTGACACAGTGAATTACCACGACGTAGACGTGATTATCTGAGTTGAATTCACGAATGAAGAAGGTTGAGTGATTCCAACATGGCCTCGGGATGCTAATTGTCCAAAGTCTAGACGGATGTAGAACTGACGCGCCAAAGACATGTGTCTAGACTCGGTGTCTAATGTCACTTTCGACTCTAGATCCCACCTGGAGATGAGTCATTTCGTCAATTTGTCGCACTACTGGATGCGACGGCATCCGATTTGATTGTCAAGGCAACGTCTGGCTGTGTCTAGCTTTGTGCAACCACAATTTGCGCTACACATAAGGACATGTGAAATGGGAGCGTCGAGATGGGTCAATACAGGGTACCAGATGCGGGAATCTGTCATCTACTTTTTTACCAGCGCCCCACTCAGCGCCCTTGAATCCTCATTCCAGGAGTGTGGTATTGATTTATCTATCCAACAGCAAAATAAGAGGAATTCAAGCCATGTTGACCATGTCATGAGTGGACATAGCTGAGCTATCGTATCCATAACTTGTCACAGCTACACAATGCAACGCTAGGCGCAGAAAAGGGCCTTAAAATTGAACATCAATCACACTCGCGCACACACACACACACGCCGCCCGACACGCAAAACAAGGTCTCACGGTTGGAAGAGGTGGTGGTGGCGGTGGAACTCCCATGAATGCTGGTGAATATTGACGATTAATCTTGACGGTGGTTGGGATCTGGTTGTGCGGACGTGTGTACACGAACGCTCATTCATTCTCACGTACACACAAGCACCAATCGGACGAGTAGGTTTGAGCCGGTAGCGGCCTAATCAACTCAACCAGAGCATTTCATTGGTTGATCGATCGGTGTAACTTTGGCGCGCTAATTCGATTCTACCGCTCTTTGTTTTATTTAGATGACTTATTCTGTGAGCCAAAATCAACTCGTTACCTTGTAAATGTATAAATAATTTTTGTTAATTTGTTTCATCGTTTATAAGTTTGATAGAAGTTTGAACTTATGGACCTGTGTTTCGGATAGGTCAGTGAATAACATTGGTAAAAGGCTTTATCAAACAGACAACAGGAATGAACCCAAAACAATTAGGTTGCCCATCGCTTTGAATCAATGGATTTATTTAAAGATCTTCCACGACCAGAAATACCCAAGCGTGTTTCTAACGTGAACAACACCAAATTGTAGATAACGCGCTTCAATTTTCGCATAATGTCGAATTGAGATCATATTATCTACATTAGCTCAACGCATTGAGTGAAGGGAAAATGTGTCTAGTGATTGGTTAGAATACCCTGATCTCATGTGCTCTGCGTTAAGGAAAACCGAGATCTATTCCACTGGCGTACTTGGGACAGTGTCCTTGTTAATGTCAGGTAGTCGGTTTCATTGTTATGTTCAAAGCTTAGTAAACAAGCATTATTTAAAAGTTGATACCATCTAAATAAATGATCAAGTGCTAATAACACGGAAATTTTGGCGAAAATGTTTGACTGGACGAAAGTAATCACGTTTTCGTTCTACTCACCGTCAATTCGAAAGGCCGTTTTAATTTTCATCGAGTTAAGAGTCCTGTTAAGATCATGTGATAATCCCTTTTCGGAGAATGATATCCAATTAGAACTCGGAGTGGACGTGACAGGATTTTCCTGCAAATCGATTCGTGGGAATCGGTAGAAGCCCTCCTTCTCCTCCGTGTCTTCACTTTGTCGACTACTTTCTCGTACGAGACTCAGCAGTGGCATAACTTGGCTCTCAATCTAACGAAGTCTGATTTAAAAAACGTATCGCATAATTCACGTCACCAGGCTGACTCCTATTGGTTGTCGCGTCAGCCAATGAGATGGCGGGGCGGAAAAATGCTTTGAAGTGTGATACGTAGTGGGTGGGTGGGGGTGTAGTGGCGGCAGAATCGTATAATTACCCCATTCGCACTGGTGTGCGGAAGGAACCAGTTTTCGTGTGGATGCATTCGTGAGAACCTTGACCACCTAGCCGGCATAAATGCGCACAAGTAGGCTCCAGGTCACACCGGGCTAATTTCCCATGCTGCTAGAGTGTCCGTATTGTGAAGTGCTCTCGCAAAATCTCAATTTTGCGGACATGTAATTAATACCGGCACTGAGTAAATATGGGGCTTAGCAACCTGATGCGGCCGTCGATAAACGATTTGGGGCAAATTTCAGATTCAGCGATTAAGCGGTATTGACTTGCGTTTCATCAAATTCTGATTGGCCAAAATTTGCTTTGATCTTCACCTCGAGTACCGCCCCCACCCCCCCCCAGTCCTCAAGATTCGTCTTCGCTGAATGAGACCCTCAAAAAGACCGGTCGGTGACAGATTCGGACGCCGCTTCAGATATCAAAACAAGAGAGAGAGAGAGGTGTACAGGCAAAGCCTGCCAACTGACATTCTCTCGGAGACGCGAGGAGGCCTTAACAGGGCGTTATGTCTAGACACGAAGCAGACAGAAGTGCGCAAGAATTTATGGCGATGTCCACTCCATCCCACTCACCCCCCCCCACCCACCCTAAGACATAATATCGGCGTGTGTGTGTGTGTGTGTCTAATTAGAGCCTGTGTGTCCGGCCAGCCGGCTCGCGTCTTAATCGAAGGTCTTTACTGCAGTCACTTGGAGACACCTTGGCGATTTCAAGGTCGTTCTGACGACGATAGGGCAGTTGTCTGGGTGAACTAGGAATTTGGCAGCTGAGGTGGCCTGTCGACGTGACGTCAGTGGACCACATGTGATCTGAGTGTAACCAATGAAAGCTGCCCATTGGCACAGTCAATTTCTACCGACGACGCAGATTCGAGAAGTAGGAGTCCTTTGTTCCACGCGCCTAGTTCTACCAAAACCTCGTCACCCCTTTTCAGAGCCATGCTGACCTCATTTTCGGATCACCAATTGACAAAACTGTGGACAGATGCATCGCCCGGCACATGATGCCGCCTTTGTGATAACAAGCAGCCGGTGGTTGGGTACCAGCCGCTAATTTCGACTTGAAAAGTGTGTCGGAGAAAGCACTTACTTTTGTTTACGTCGAAATGCCTTCACTTCTGCGTGGTTAAGTTGGCTTACAATTGGACAAAAGCGAATCATGATTGGTTAAATTTAACCAATACTAATGGCCGTTCCTCGTTTGAGGAGGCCCTGGATTGGTCCGTATTAGGCCAGTGACTAGTGGTCAACTCAGAAGGGCAATTTTAATTGGTAGCTCTGATACCCTGGAAAGACAAATCAACACACCGATTTGCTGTTTTCGGAATCTGCAACACGTTCGTTCCCGAGAGCTGGGTAGCTATCTTCCACGATTGTGGAGGGCTGTGATTTTCAACTGCGCAGAATTAGTTTTGTGTGAAAATTTGTCATTGCGAGAACGCATTGCATTTCACACTTATATTTTGGGTGCTAAATCCAGGCTAGATAGATGTCCTGAGAGAATTTCCGGCCTCGGAAGTTAGAAATTACCGAAGGGACGAATCTGATTGATGCGGGAAGCATTACACTGTTTAAATTAGCGATTTTGTCAAAAGCAGTCGTTTCAAATGCATGAATTTTGGTAATGAGTGAAACAATAGCTGTAGAGATAGCCAGGGGTAAACAAGACCGACATAAACCGGTTAGTGGTGGATTCAAACACCCTCGCCAACAACTAACCCACATGCACACACACGCGAGCGCGCGCGCGCCTAATTTAATTGCTGACGCCTGCAACATTTTGTCGGCGGCGGCGGCAGCGGCAACCGCCGTGAGATCAAAGGCTCGATTACGCATTACTCTCCACTGCCACAAGTCGTAGTGGACGCGAACCCGCGCGCGCGCGCACCCATACAGACACATTTGTAATGTTTTATGGCAGCTCAAGTGAGTGTGTGTGCGAATGCACAGACCCGGCGATGGTGATAGGCGGGGTGGTGGGTTTGTGGTATTTATGGTGGCCGGCCACCACACAAACGCCCAAAAGCAAAGCACAATGACAACCAGTGCAGGGCTAGAGCAATGCCTACCTCTGATCGCGTCCATTTCCAGTGTGTCCGAGCAGTTGGGCTCGTGGAGGGGGCAGCAGAGGGTGTTGTGCGTCGCGCTGCAAGGCCGCATTTCAATTTGGCCTGGCTTGCACTTTCTGCAGGTCTGGCAAGTCTCTGTTGCGGACGTCGAAGAGGACCAGGTGCCTGCGGGGCAGGGCTTGCACAAACTGTCCCGATTCCAGTCGCAGGGTCTCAAAAAAGGAAAATGAAACTGGTTGTAAAAAACTGCCTACTAACGCACTTTAAGTAACAAATTTAGCTTGATGGTACCTTTCTGCGCCGTGTCCAGGCGGACATTTTGTGCAACTCTGGCAGGTTGACTGAGCTTCGACGAAGAAGTAGCCGGGGATGCATTCGCAAACAGCGTCAGAAGTGGGAGTGCAGTGAGTGCGGAATTTGGCGAAGGGGTGAAGCTAAAAGCGGGAAAAAATTAGCTAAATTCCACGCCTTCCAGGGCTGGAATGACCTCCCGGGGGAGGGGGGAGTAGTGCTTACTTCCTGGCATTGCTTGCATTGCATACACTTGGCGGTCGCTGACGCAACTGGCGAAAACTCGGAGAACTCCTGACAGGTGCGACAGACTGTCTGTGTGTGATTGGTGCATAGCTGGAGCATGCCCTCGCCAGCCGGACATTTCACACAGCATTTGAGTTGACCGCTCATGGTTAGCACGATTTCCTCGTTCGCATTCGGACAGGTCTCCTGTTACGCGGAAAAAAACAAAGTGTTAATCAGAGAAGTGCCTAAGTGGCTTCTGGCGAAGCGCCTCACCGTGGTTTGGTGGTAAGATGCTTTAAGTTTATAAAAAAAGTCACGACAAATTCGGTGAGGAGTTTCGACGTGGAAGGCGGAAGCCTCATTGTGACGTAGGCCATTGTTTTCCGTAAACCCGAAGAAAATTCGACACGTCACGAGGTTTTTTTGTTGGTAACGGGGAGAAGCAGTTCATTAAAACAACCGCTTTGATTTCGCGGCAGCCGCCGCCGCGTTTAAATTCCACACACGCGCACGCGCGGCATTTAGGCGGGTGTGCGTGCGTGCGTGCGTGCGCGTACCACATGAAAACAAAATGCGCTCTCACGAAGACATGTGGTATCTCCGCCTTAGGCGGCATCCCTTTGATCTTTATGTGTCTCGTCGCGCACAATAAACAAAACGCAAACATATTCGCAGGTAGTTATAAACACACACGCACCCACGCACTCGCTCGCGCGCACTCACGCACGCGCGCGCACGCGTACACATCACAGAGCCGACAGCGTCGGACGGCTTCGCACCCTCGCAGAGACGACCAACGTCGTGGTTACTCCCACCCCCCACCCCCTAAATCGCAGGGAAACCCAAGTGGCCACGTTTAAGTGTCAATCGGACGACGATCTTCACCCACTTGGATGCAAAAGATTGTGCGGTTTTCAAATGACCCGGCCAAGACAATGCGTATGGCCTGTTGCCGTGGTTGCAAGCAGTGAAGCACCTGTTAGACTGTCTAGAGCATCGACGCTAATTCCAGATCGGAAACAGGTGTTTAAACGGCCTGCAGCCAAAACCCCAAGGTCATACTCTGCTCCACATTATCTGGTGAGATTTCGAAATGCCCATATCCACCGCAGAGACGCGAAAAATGGAATATAGGTTAATGCCAGCCAAAATTACACACATATTCTGGTCTGTTGCATTGTCTCTCAGACTAAGTGTTTAAATGAACCACAGACGAAATCCCAAGGTCAAAATTGACTGCCAATTTTTCTGCCTCGGTTTTGAAATATCAGCATGAATCTAGAGATCATGTCGGCCAACGAATTTGTAATTGCAAAGCACTGTTAATTAGGCACATGATTGTGCATTTCAAAATGGGAACTGTATGCTCATTTTGGCCATACCAACGTAACACTGACAAGACATCCAAGCTATACAAGTTTAAATTCTAGTTTAGGCGGGGAATTTCAACCCACGTCTCTATCAAGGCACTGTGTTAGAGGTAGACGCTGGTCAAAGCCAGCAGCTGGCGTCGTGGAGTTCAAATGATGGACGGAACGACGAGTTAATGGGCTCATGACCCAACAATTTGGCACTTGTAGGAGTGAGGCTGGAGGCTGTCTTCAAGGAAGGCAAAAGTACAAAGAATTTGCCGCTTCTGCGCCGACGCCGATGAATCACATTTACAGCTAATTTGACGCACACAGAGAGACCGTGATTAAGCCAAGAGGGCACCACATTTGCGTCGACGCACTGATCGTACTTGTGATTTAGCTTAACTATGACGCAAATTTTAGTCGTCGCATCATTTTGGATGGCTCCCGACACTACACAAGTCAATAAGCCCGCTTGATTGATTTTTGAGTGGACAAGGGCAAAAACCTGCCCCAGTAGATCGATCGACCAATCAAATTGGACCCAAGGACCCACGAGCTGAGGGTCCAGCGTGTCTACAACTTTCGGCAACCCGATCTGCGACCAAAATTGGCATGAAGGGGTGGGGGGAGGCGAGGCTTAACTCCGACCGAACACAGGTGAATGCATCTGGAGAGCACACGCACGCACGCACGCACGCACGCACACATGCCCGCATGCACTGTAGAGGCCCGACACATTTGCACGCCACTTTGATGAATCACAGCCACTACACTACGGCCTCTACAAAGGTACGCGAAGTAGAGGCATTGAGAGAGAGGGCGAGAGACGATTGTGTCCCTGTGCGTCTGTTTTGCACCGGCTACGCCGAGAATAAATCACGCGTGGTCGTGGAGACCAGACGGACGTGGAAACCAAGGCATGACTTTATCGCACACAGCTTTTCCCTCAGTTCGTGCGGACAAGATACCATCATCGTCATCATCACGGTATGGAAGGTGGCTGGTTAGCGGCTTGAAGTTCGCCTGGGTGTAACCTGTCGTGGATTCAAGACCTTCTGGAAATCCCCTCCCCTAACACCACAGAAATCACACTTTGACACACACACACAGGCAATTCTCTCACTAAAACGCTTTGCGATCAAGTCAATTATGAACCTACTGACTAATTAGGGTAGCTTCAAGGATAAGGGGTTAACGTACCTGCTGGATATGATCTAATCCGGTGGAGTTTGTAGAGGTGGCCAAATGCTGGCCTGTCCTTCCAGTGGCAGTGGGCAGGGTCAAGGCCTCGTGGCAGGCCAGAAGTGCGATTAGCGTGGGCAGCAGTTGGGTGTTGAGCATGTTGCCTCTTAGTGAAGTCACCTTGTAGGTGGAATCTCAGTGCTATGTGTGTGTGAGTGCGTGCGTGCGTGTGTGCTAGCGAGCTATCGCGCGGTAGAGGCGAGCGAGCGAGCGTGAGATTAGCAGACGCCGACACACACTGCCCAAGTCCGCTTTTTTTATAGGTCGTTTCAACCAATCACAGGTGCGTGTGTTACCTCACACACACACACACGTCTGCACGCACCTACACACGCACCCACGCACCGCAGCGCGTTATGATCCCAATTCCCCACAATAGCCGATGTCTTGCAGCTCGAGCACCCAGCCTGGACGTTTTGGTTTTGTGTGCAAAATAGATGGAAATCATAACCACGCCTGGTTACCTTGACAACGCCCCCCACCAGCAATCGGAGGAAATTTTCGAATTTAAACTGTGCGCACTTTTTGGCTGGTCATCGGAGAAGAATGATAAAAATAAGTCACAATCGATTTAACCAGTCCATAATTCACCTGATGTAGGTAACAACCGCAATGAAGCAAGATAGGCACAGAGGGTTGTAACTAGACGGTTTGCAATTGGAGTTGATTTTGGGCATTCTATCACCTCAAGAGTATCGATCAATTTATAGATCAAGCTTCAGTTGACTTCGATGCTGCTGAGAGTGATGACAGTGTCTCAGAAAGACAACACTGAAATTCGCGCCATTAACGGCCAAACGCGCCGATAAACACACCTTCAAGGTCGTTAATCAAGCCTATATGGCGGGTTTGCAATCTTCCCGGAATCTAACATTTTGGCAGTGTATGGCATTAACTAAAAGACGTATGTATATGGTGTATATATTGGCAATTTGAAATGAAAAACGATGGCGTTATTATTAGGCCGTAAAACAACGCACTTCAGTTTTATGACGGATACTAACTTGGTGCACATAAAGTTGTAATAACCGGTATTATTACGGAGATGCATTTCGGCGTTTTAATGTTCCACCACCATCTTGGCTTCGTTTACGCGGAAGTTTCAAAGGAAGCCTTTGATTGTCGCGGACAAAGCAGAGCGTAGTCAATAGGAGGAGCCAATTTTCCGCCGCCATGCTTACTCCAAGGTATTTGGGCATGATTTTAGCAAGGATTGTGAAAAAAATCACGACATATTCAAGGCTCTTTGTGGAGGCTGTCTAACACGACAGGGCACATGTTGGAATTGGTGTACAGCGATTTTTCACCTACCGAAGTTTATGAAGGGCCATTTCAAAGGCATAATTCCGGTTTGGTCATCGTCGTATAAGTGTTCCTGAGGTTACTGAGAGATTATTGACTGAGTCAAACATCACAGCAATCAGAATTGTCGACCCAGAAAACAACCAATCAGAAAAGTCGATATTTAGTTAAAGCAACCAATCAATATTTGCCCCTCACGCGACAGTCGAATGATTGTTTACCATGTGGCTGGAGAGGATTTAACAAAAAAATCAATCATTAGTGTTGTCCTCTGGAAACGAGCAAAAAGTCCAAAGTTGAATCTGATTGGTTGGATGGTTGCAGTGTGAGGCTGGTAAAACACACAGGTTATTGACGCATTGGGGGTGTTACGAGAAGGAGGTGGGTGAAAATTTGAAATAAAAATTGACAAATTTTGTCACGCTGACATTTCCATGACGTTTATTTGTTTAAGTGGCTCAAAATCATAATTCCGATGGCGGCCACGTCGTCGTCAGTGGCCCAGTGCTGCGAAATCGGTCGATATTGTGCTTGTAACTGTGGCCACTCACCTGACTATCGGTTGTTATCCAATCATTTTGATGCGAATTTCGCAGGGTCTGCAAGTGAACTTGTGGGCCAGATTTGAAAGGTTACATAGCGCAGCAGTGAGAATGCTACGCCTGAAATTACGTGTGTGTGTGTGTGTGTGTGTGCGACACGTTTGCACACATGGCGACTTCTCGCTTTGATCTTTTTCGCAACCACACTTGAAGGTGGTGCTAGGGTCGTAAACGCACGCCCATGTGGTTCTACTGCCTCATTTTTGTGTTTTGGTAAAACCAATTTGATAAAGAGACATGCTTAAATGCATTGCTTTTCGGATAAAGCAAAATTGAAGCTTATTGTCCGGTTGCTTGTCGATTCCGGCGCTAATATGAGCACCTAGGTCGGATGCAAAGCGTTTGAAGCTAGAATGCTTGTGCAGGCACCAATCGCGCGGTTTTGAAGTATGCACTTCTGACGAGAAAATCGAAATTACTTGGTACTTTAAGGATGAGCAAGCGTTACTCAGTTTAATCGATTTTTGGGGGAAAAATGATACTTTACGGCGCTGAAACGTGCCAAACTCCTGTTTTTTTACCGCCTTACCTACTGCTGCTTGCGAAATCGTAGTGCCTAACCAGGCCGTGTCCTGTCTGAGTCCTACCTGCTCAGACATGAGATGTAGGGAAATCGCGTTTTCATTGAAATTATGCAAGTGGTGGCGACTAGCTCTGGGACAAACGGGGCCATTCGGGTAACCAGCGAAACGACCAATAGGAATTCACTTCACGCCTTGGGCTAATTGCTCGACCAATCACATCTGAGGCCCCTTGATTTTTGATTATTCTGGCTAGGCAAGCAAAGTGCTGCAACCGCCCAATTTGACATGAAGAATCCCCAGGTTGTCTAATAAGCAGGAAGTCGCTGATGTCACCAACACGTGGATGAGTTGTCGGATCGCTTGGCATTCCACGTCAGTCGCCTCTACTGGCATAGGGTTCATGGGCGCTACGGCAGACAGACGCACAGTAAACTGCGCTGTGGCACGATTTACGAGGCGCGTGGAAGCATAAAACGCTTCGACATCATAAACCTGACAGAAGCCTTTGGTACCAACGCCATTCGCGTGTGTGTGTGTGCATCGGTACTGCGAGTGCCTGCTTTGTGCGCGGAATCGCGTGATTTATCTAAGGTCCCCACCCGACGCTTTATGAGGGAGACAGGCAAGTTGGCTTCATCAAATGAGATACAATCACACTCCTCCAGCAAATCGATTTTTTGAACCAATCAAATCTCCCGATGCCTGATTGGTCTCGATTTGACATTCAGGCTGATAGTTCCTCAAGCATCGACTGATTTTGCATGAAGCCTTAATATTGCCCTTCTAATCATAGTCATTTGGTGTACTCAGACTTCAGACTAGATTTCCTCAAAGACGGGAATGGAGGCATGTCGGATTAACAAAAGTTAGGCTTTTTTTTATAAAGCATCACTAAAGATAGAAAGTAGCCAATCAAACATCAAATGAAACTAGTAAAGTGTAAATGCAAAAATCTGGCAATTAGGCGCCGCCCTATTCCTAAAATAGCCTTAACTTGGCTTTTGGAGTCGTCTTGAATGCGACATTCAGTACCCTCAAGTGAGGTCCAAAATTCCACATCAGACTAATTTTGTTAGATTTTGATTGGTACAAGGCTGTTTGAAGCCAAAATTTGCTGAGTTAGTATCGCCTCGAGGCAGCCGACTCGCAGAGACACAAGTCGATTATGACTAAGGGTTTAGTTACCGACACGATCTGGTCGCTCATGTAATGTTATGGTCCACTACTTGAGACGACAGTATCGATCTCCGAAGCTGAAGCTTGCTGATCTGCATTGCGAATTCACGAAATAACGAAGAGTTTTACGTGTTTATTTACGTTTTTACTTCATGCCCCCACCTCAAAGACCTCATCAAACCGGGCATTCATTCGTGGTTGAATTCCAACAGATTCCAGCAAGGCTCGAATCCATTCCATGAAAATGCGGTGACAGTTTTGCCGTTGGATACGGAAAAAGACTTCCATTTATCACATGTTCACTAATCACCGGAAGAATCTAGTTACACCTTCTTTGCCGATTCAGGCTTACTAAATCGATCGCCTAATAATCGATTCACATGTACTTTTGTCAGAGTGCAAAGGGGAACAAATATTACCGTCAAGAGTGCCAAAACACCCATGAGATGCTGATGTAGGCCCCAGCATGTGGCCTTGAGCCACGCCGGGGCCACGGAATTAATCCTGGCCCGATTACGCTTCCCTGATACCCGCGATGAAGAAAAAGACTGGAGAGGGCGTGGACACAACCGTTTGCTTCAGAGCTCAACCACGTTGGTGCCGTTGTGTCGTGTGTGGGGTTTGCGCGTGTGTATTTATTCCTCAGATGTGTGAGTCATACATGCACTAACATCGAGACCTAGGTGTGAGGGTAATCCATATATCCGTGTGAATGAGGGGGGAGATGAGGATCGCGCAGCTGGCGACATGCCGCGAAAAGGGGAACCCTGCATCGGGGGCTGGAGCGACCGGATTAAGGGATGTGAATAAACACGATTCACGACAATGCCAATCCATATGACATTCGCCGTCACTCTCCACGACCTCCTCCAACAAGTACATTGATTCTAGTTCCTAGGATAGTTGGCAGTTCGATTCTGGCGAAATTCGTGCTGTTGATTTGGCGTATAATCAAAGCCCAAAAATTGGCGGTCGGATGAAACGAGCTCCTATTTCAGCTCCAGGTTTTTTGTTTTCGAGAGTTGATCGGTGCGACGTCAGGCCTCATGGTGCACAAAACCAACTTCTAGATTTTTCATTGTCAAAAATCGATAAATTTGGTCAGACCGCAAATACCTCACCGCCGTGTAAATAGCTTATTTGCTACACAAGTAGAAAGAGCACCTCATCCAAACATCGACTGGCCAATTGGAATGGGGAGGAGGAGGGGGGGTCGCGCGTTCGGAAAACCACTTAATTGGCGCATCGGATGAGGAGGTTATTTAAATGTCTTTGTTGCCTGTTTCAAGCACAGCGCTTCAGGAGACCTACGTGGGGGCAATTATCCAATAATTGGGAGCAAACCAATGCGGCTTGGTATCTTGTGTTCACACACACCCTCGCATAATTCCTCCACACGAATATATATATCTCACTCCACCTACGGCAACCACTTTTCTTTGAAGCTGCGCTTTGATCTCTGCCGGGATTGAACGAGAAAATTATGGGGGCATGTGGGGGGGGGTGTGTCGGATGGGCATGACACACGAATCCCGCGATGTCGTGCAGCTGAGTTGCTGTACTCACACCACTCCTCCCGGCATCCGTCGCCCGTTGTTTCTGTGGTACCTTCGAGAAATCTGCAAATCGGCTTTGCCTGAGGCCTAGTCTCGTTAAGGCGCATTCTTAGATGATGATGATGATGATGACGATTGCGTGGGTGCATTTTCGAGGGGTGGTTGGTTGGGGTTCCGCCGATAACCATCTGCACTGCGGTCGAGATTTCAACCAATTGGGTCCTAGTGTGAAAGCCTGTGCCCACACAAACACATGTTTGCTATCTGCGAGAATCCAACTACCCACCGCGTTATGATAAACACGGAGGGCCTTGTGTGACCCAAATAGGAGCAAATTCTCTTGTTAATTGCCTCCGTGTGATGGCATTGTGTGGTGCGGACGTAGTGTTTGTTTTCGCGGTCTTCCCTCGACGGTGGTTGAGCATTTTTCTCCAATTAAACCACCACAAAGACCGATGTCGATATGCCGTGCAGCGCATTTCTCAAATTAGGTTTCACTTAATGCAAGTAGACTAGACGCACATGTGTTGGTTAATTAAGAAATTAAGTCAAACGGACAGGAAATTGCCTCCCTCTTTCTCACTGGACAAAATTTGTGTGAAAGTCTACAACTTAGTTCAAACACATGCATTTAAACAAAGCGTATTAATAGGATGTACTTTTGGTAATGGCAAAAATGCACTCGACATTTAACGCCGTGTACTTTCCTGCGAGACAGCTGGTTAGGGCACGAGAATTCGTCTGACGCAAATCGTGAAGGCGGTCGGTCTGATTTTGCGTTCAAACTGTTGCTTGAGCCAGTAGCTTGAAGTAATCCAGTCACCAAATGACCTGATATCTTGCTGAATAAAAACAAAATCGTCTTCACGTTGATCACAGCAGTAACTCTGATCCGTAGCTGATTAATATTTGCAAACGGCGACATGCTTTTGCTAGCAGTCGTCTTGTTTTACTAAAGTAAATTAAGTGTTTAACAACCCGATCAATGTTTTAAATCAAATATTGCGCCTAAAATTTGTTTGACCACATCGAGATTGGGGCAAGTAGTTAAGATTAGCTTGAACGTGACTTTTAATATCTAATTAAGTGTTTCGGTACATTGAATCTGTTTTAAGGTCCTATTTTACAATAACAACTAGTTCGGACCGGGTAAGGATTAAAAATGATGGAAAACCACATAGCGCAGACGGCATGATGATGATTTGATCTTCTCGAAATGATGGCAAGATTTTGTTTTATTGTGTGACAACGCCATCTGAGCTGTTGTGATTCGTCAAGTTGGACGCTTATGAAATTGATTCTCAGATGAGTTATTCAAAATACGCTGCTCTAGATCGCTTCCTTCACCACACATAATACCAACGGGTGTGCGCTTGGAAGGAAAAAGTGATCTAAGTTTCCATCGCCACGTTTTCCAGAACATCACCTTTCCTGGGATACATCGCGTCGCCTTCTCACCCTGCTTTTGAAATCCATGGACTTTGACATGTTGGTAGCACGGATACAATTCACCACAAAAGCTTCGTTCGCTGAAGATATTTTACAAAGAAACGTCTCCTGGCATCAGTGAATGATACTAGCATTTTCATTGATCAGTGCTGTGCCATGTCTTGTCCTGATGGGCTTCCGTAATTCACAGATTCTTTTATTCACCAACCACACTTTCGTGGTGTCCAATTTTAAGAAAATTCGAGTTTAGGGGTCGAGTGAGTCAAGTTGCTATGCAGGCGGCACTTAACAACTTTCGCCTCTAGCCTCATCAGTATAAAACAAATGGAAGATTCAGACGATCGGGTGAGTTCCACAGACGCTCATTCCACCTCACGTTAACTCGTTGTCATTCAAACATTGTTAATTCTTTTTCTACTTGGAATTAATAGGTAACATGAAAGGGACTAACTATTTTCCTTAACACGAAGCTCGAAGTGAGTTACAAAAGTTGGAGTAGGATGGCAGAATTTTGTTAAATTTAGGGCCACAACATGGTCCCAATGTTTTTAGTAATAAGTCGGGACAAAAATGACTCATAACAAAGTGCAATTAGTCATAACCCTCTTAGTGTTCGACCTTGAATAATGCGCTTTTTAGACAGTTTTAACGAATCTTAAAACACAGACTGTTAGATTACTTAAAATAAAGAATTAAAAGGAACAAATGTGAAAAACAGAGAATTGCACCAAATGGTCGAAGATACCATCCCCATATCCAAATAATCCCCGTAACACATTCAAAAAGAAAATGGCGTTTACGTAGATTTGCCTTTAGGCAATCCGAACGATACAGCATTGTTGGCTCAAAAATTAAGATATCAATATTAAATCGAACGCCACAGGTTGATAAAATGATGCGTGCTCCAGTTAAATTTAGATAAACAACGCATTCTAGAAATAGACAGACATAAAACAGAAAAAGAGGAAAAAATTGGTTTAAGAACATAGAACCAAGCGTAAAAATTTCCAGTCGCATAGCTAGTTCCATTAAATTAAATAATGAAATTCAGTTTAGTGTCCCCATGAATGTCAGAAAGATGTCTGCAAATGGAAGACTCGAGTTTACGTAATTATTTTTGCTTTCAGATTGATGAAAAAATTAGCATGGCGCACATAAAGAATGCAGGATTTTAATTAGATCACACAACAAGATATTAGCACGAACAGCATTTAGGTGTTTTAAGCTTGACTTTAGTACCATTTTTTATGATGTCAAAATGTCAACACTATATATAGTTATAGAAAGCACCATGTAAGCCACGTACCTAAAGTATTAATTTAAAAGAACTTTGATTTAAAAAATTAAATTTTAATTTCGATGGGGAATCGTGACATATGAGATTACCACCCACGAAGATACTTTATATTTCCGAGGGTTGAATTCCAGGTGAATTGCAAACTGAGGCGTTCAAAAATGAACATGTTTTCGTGCTTCTAAACGAAGAAAAAAGGTTGTCAGTTTTGTCCTTCAAGATATATAACGCTAAGTTTTTGATTCTATCATAAGTGATTATAGGTAAGTATTCTTTATTTAATGAGTTGGTTGAAGTTCAGCCAAGGAAATCAAAAGAGATTAGAGGTCGGTTAACAAAAAAAGAAAGTAACATATTTAAAGAGATATTCTGGACAGTATAATTAAGATTTAAGTTTTAAAAACAATTATTCCTGAACCCAAAACGCGGCAAGTCAAATGCTGTTTGTAGTTTCCGCGTGGACTTAAATGGAGGGGAGGTCATCTCGATCTATAAACTCATTAAAAAGGTTTATTTGATATGTTTATATTACATTTGATAGTTACGAGATTCTAAATGTACTCCCGCAGTCTCAACATACTGACGCACCAGACCCTAAATTTAAGAGAGTAAATAATATCTGAGCTTATTTTATATAGGCTGTTGAAATTTGCAAGCCATTTTGGCCTACTACAGAGCATTGTGAAGCCATAATGCGCATTATGAATACTGAAATGATTAAAGGTCTTACTACTCCAAATGACATGTCGAATGATCTTAAAATGATCAACACATATGTTACGAGTCTACCACTCGGAAACGGTACTCTGCTTTTGTTTTGTTTAATTTTTTACAGAAACTGGAAGATATTTGGCTCTTGATCTAGGTGGAACAAATTACCGACTGCTACTAGTTACATTTGAGGCACCAAAAACACCTCCATTAATTGAAGCAGATGTGTATACAATCTCAAAAGAACTGCAAGTTGGCGACGGGGAAGCTGTAATATTTTGCTTTAATTTAACTAAGACAAAGCTATTTCAATTTATAGCTGGAACGGTTAAGTCCTTTTTGCAAACTCGAAACCTTCAAGACTTAGAAATTGATTTGGGATTCACATTTTCGTTCCCAGTTAACCAACAGGGTTTGAATAAAGGAAAACTAATGCGATGGACAAAAGGGTTCGATGTAAAGGGAACCATTGGAAAGGATGTAGTTGAACTTTTAAACAGTGCAATGAAAACTTTGGTAATGTACATACGTAATTATATTGGTATTCTAAGGGTCTAAAAGTCACTTGCCGAGCCCTTGTAAATGACACTGTTGGAGCATTGGCATCCTGTGCATTTTTAGATCCGGAAACAGCGATCGGTCTCATTGTTGGTAAGTTTTATTAGGAATATTTTTGGCCCTATACGACCTTTGAAACAATTAATTTGTTTAAATCTTTAAGGTACTGGTACTAATGCGGCCTACGTTGAAAAACTGTCAAATGCTAAAAAAATTACCGACTTACCGCCAACCGTCCACTCCGTTGTGATAAATACAGAATGGGGTGCATTTGGGGAGCATGGTTGCATCGATGATTTTTCAACTGAATTCGACAAACATATTGATGTCAACTCCATAAATCCTGGAAAACAAATGTATGCACACACGAAACTCTTAATCTTCTGTAATTTCCTTAGTTTTGAGAAAATGATCAGTGGTATGTACCTCGGCGAAGTAGTTCGGCTGATTTTGAGAAAACTTGCCACGGAGGGTATTATTTTTGACGGTGCTGTTCCTGAGCGTCTAAACGTTGTTGATGGATTCCCTACGTACTTCCTTAGTGAAGTAGATCGGTTAGTCTAGTTACCTGACATAGAATTCCTGCGCTAGTGCAAGCATCTAAAACTTTCCTCTCCGTTTTAGCGATCCAACGCATCTCTTCTACAGTACCGAATATATCCTTCGTGAAGCTTTTCAGATGACCAGATTTACAACAGAGGACCTAAAGATTGTCCGTTACGTCTGCAGTTCAGTAGCTAATCGAGCAGCTAGTTTTGTAGCAGCTGGTATGTTTCAGAACTTAGTTTTTTTTTAAAAATACTGTTTATTTAATTATGGACTACTTTTCTCCGAATTAGGTATAGCTTGCTTATTAAACCGGGTGGACAGGCCTCGGACAACAATTGCCGTAGATGGGTCATTATTTAAATTCCATCCTACCTTCGCTCGCACAATGGTCGAAGTTATTACCAAGCTTGTCCCTTCGCGATGCACGGTAAGTCGCGTACACCAGGCGCCCCACTGCCTAGATAAAGCACTCAAAATGCTGTATTCTTGTGCATTGGTTTAGTTCCGGCTCAAATTATCCGAAGACGGTAGTGGAAAGGGTGCTGGGGCCTTGGTAGCCGCAGCCAGACGAGAGGCATTATCTGAATAATGGTAGAACACCCTCGTGTACAGCTGCATTTGGCGTTAATTGTCTGCATTTGAAACCCCTTTTTGCGACTTACTTTACACTGAAGAGTAATTTCAGGTTTATTTTTATGTAACTGAGGTGCATGACCCCGTGCACTATACGTAACTACATCAGTTGCAGATTTATTATCGAGATTTTTTATTTATCAAGTACATATCTCCATACTTTCTGCTTTTATTTGGATTACTTCTGAAGTCAAAGCCATTTGATTCAAACTAATGACGAATCAAACGTATAACTCATTGGAAATTGAGTGTTTCTATCACTAGTACCCAGACATAGTTGTAAAAGACAAACTTTTAACTCGCCAGATATGATTTCTACTGTCGCTAGGGTGTAAAATTGAAAATTGAGAAGCATGTGTGTGACGCGAATGTCGGAGAGTTGTCCCTCAATCCACTGAAGCCTCAGTTATTCCTAGATTTTGCGAGCCCAGGTATGCAAAGGCCATTCTCCTGTAAGACAGCCAAACTCAGTCGTGTGCACGTGGACACGTATACTGGCGTTCTCACATTGTCCAAACGGACAACAGGTGATGGCATTAATGCGATGACATTTCTCATTAGCCAGACGTTGGAAACACTTCCAAATTGGTGGTTTCTATAAGCCCGAGCGTTCAAATACATTTCACTAGTAACTATACCGTGAAACATTTTCACGTAGTGATGTTGTTTGGCCTAAAACCTCCGACTCTTCAGTTTTCGATGTCCAAATTGGGGTGAAACAGTGGGATATCCACAACGGTTTACTGCCGTGTTTCAGTGAATAGAGAGGATTGGCCTTGAGGGGAACCAATGATGTGTTAGGTGGTGGGGGTGATGTTGGGACAAGACTCATTGAAGTGTGTGTCATCTTCAAATAAGCGCGCACATTTAGATTAGCTGCTTTCTCATACACTACATGTTTACCATAAGTACGTGGCATTTTGAGTGGATTTCGCATCGACAGTCTGATAGTGTCTTGTAAGCTTGGGGGTCCAGGATGCTTTTTTTGTTAATCCGACCACTCCAGCCTCCGGCACAGGGTCCCGATTTTCACAGCATGTCGCCAGCCGCGTGGATCCTCAACTCTCCTTCATTCGCATGGCCATTTATCCTGGATTATTTTCACACCTAGGCCTCGATGTTAAGCCATCATCTGAGGTAGAAATGCCACCCACGACACAACGACACCAACGTGGTTGAGCTCTGAAGTAAATGGTTGCGTCCAAATTCTCTCGGGTCATTTTCTTCATCGCGGGAAGCGTAATTGGGGCAGAGTTAACTCAGTCACGTTGGCGTGGTTCAAGGTCACGTGCTGGGGCCCACAATACCTCCTGAGAAAGTTGAGGTGGAAGTGGATGAGAAAGACTGTGACAAATTTAGGAAATAAGGCTGAAGCTTTAGAGATACCATCGTACAACGCAGGGATCACGCATTGTGTATTTCAGATATTAGTGCTATACGCACAAAGATTTTAGACTTACTTAAGTGAGGTACAGGTAACAGGTAGAAGAACATATTTACTTTATTAATACAGGTGCCTACTTAAATTAAATCAGTCAACTCAGAGACAAGACCATCAAACATTCTAGTCAATTTCACTTTTTTCTTTAGAAAACTTGGTTTTTCAAGCAATCGTAATTTTTTGTTTCATCAATCGACTTAAGATTAGGCTGACTTGGTGTAGAAAAACAACCAATTCAATAAAGACATCTGTTTTATTATCAAAGCGTAACACAAGAATGTAATAATTAAAACAACACGCGTCCTTGACTTACCTGGAGTCGAGTGAGCAAAGAGCAACATTGAAACCTACAGTGCTGACAAATACGGATCATTGAAGATTATACTCGTGACTCGCTGGTCAGTATCATTGCAGTGTATCACAAAAGTGATGGTTTGCCATAACCAGATTTCAATTACCTGGGTTAATTTACGGCATTTAAAAACAACTGCACTGCCATCATAGAACAGAGCTATTAATCTCCCAGGTTAAACATTTACTATCAACTACAATTGAGTTCGATGACTTGGGTAGTTTATTGGCGCTCATATGAATGGTTGACATTCAAGAAAGTCACGTAGAAGACTTAGTAGACCAAAAAGAATAGGAATGATCAGTCCAATCTAGGCTGTATGAATACGTTGAAATGGTATCTAAGAATTTTGAAATCGTACTCACCAACTGTAATTTTTTGAACTACTGTTAGATATTCTGACAACTACTTAGGGTTAACTTAATCTGCCCCTTAAGTTACGAAACGATGCAAATGTAAAAAAAACAGCAAACTTTCATTCACATAAATTGAAGTATTAAACAATTACACGAAACTCTTGCTTGTCATTAATAAAATAAATAACTACGGCAACCATGACATGAGCTATTTGCGGAAATCTGGCAAACCAGGACGTGCCTATTTGAGATTCTAACTTTATTAGTTGTTATTCCCATGCACCTCGCCACGCAAGTGATTTTTTAAGGACATAATGATGTATTAAATGCATGTAACTTAACCACTTCACACAATAACATGCCTAGCAACTAACATGATTATCAAAGTACCAAGTCATCTTGGAAAAAAATTGTATCAATTGAAGAAAAGAAATCTTGGAGCATCAATGTGAATAATGCATTCAACGATAAACAATTTATATTGTGCTCTGGTACAGCAAAGTAAAACCTATTGGGGGCTTAATAGAAACTAACAAGTATAACGCGTTTTTTGACTTATTGTTCCTCACAAAACAAGGAATAGATAAAAAAATCACCGAGATAGAATGGGTTGAGCAAGACGAAGCAGATCAAAATTTACCGAAATTTTTTATTTAAGGGGCTAATTATTGTGTAATAACTATTAAAAAAAATAAAGAAATTACACATGAAATAGTTTTAAATTGGTTCGAATTCTTCCCATGTAAACCATGAACAGGAAATTCTACGGTAAAACATGAGGCATATGGTCACACTATAAAAACTAAAAATATTTTTTAATAACAGAAAAACCTTAAAATATATGTGGATAAGCTGATATAAGACTGAACTTTAATTCAATGACTGTTTGTTATGTTGCTCGGTTACCTTAACATTGGTATCGAGTTTTCGATGCGCACAGCTTAACTTACCTTAGTGACCCTACGTTGTCTTTTCACGTTAACTGTTACTATTGTTTTGTTTTTTACTATACACTTTTGTAAATGGTTAGTTGACTTTATTTTTAACTAAAGCGTCTCTAGAGTCAACCAAGGAGGGACGGCGACAGGGAAAATGAACCAGTTTCCCCAAGGCGTCCAGCACGACGATCTCAGGCAAGGCTAATTTACCGGTACAGTCCCGAAGAAGGAGAATTCAGACCTACGCCGAGTCAATTAGCTTACCCTGTGAGAAGCAACTCTGGTTCTATTTTGCAATCAAGACCAGCAGTTCGCATATCCGGTGCGGCCAGACAGTCATCTTCAAACGGCACGCGCCGAAACCATCGCCAAATGAGTCAAACGACTCAACCACAGCTAATTCCAATTAGTTCTATGAACTCTAAAAAACCATTTAAAAGCTATGCTCAGAGACCACAAAGACAGATTGTAGTAGAAGAGCATCAATCGGATATTTCTGTTCCTCCAAACGGAGTTTCTTCACAGGAAACTCCCACGGATGCCTCTCTTTCATTCAGAACTCCAACACCTACTGATTATGAAGCAGCCGTAAAGGTACGTAACTGACAAGTTTTGCGAAAATTAGTTGATATTTGTTGCGTTCGCTTTCATAGTTTTCTGTTTTCTTATTGTTTTATTTTGAGTTAATTTGTTTGATTTTATGTACTCAACTTTACACATGTTTTCTCAGTTTATAATACACAAGAAATAGTTCTTTTGAATACAACCCATGGGAAAGCAAGGGATCATGATTTCAAGGTGTTACCGCGCTCCAGTTTGTCAACGGAGATAGGGGTATTGGGTCTTCGTGCGCACTCATGTTGTATAGTCTACTTCATTTTGGTTGAGCGGTTGTCATTAATATTTCATTCGAACGTAAAACGATGCTCTGTCAGTACTTACCAATTTTGATATCAACTAGTGCCGTCGATAACCTAAATGGTGGAGCTTATATCTCAAAAAAGACTTACCAGATATTGATAAAGTAAGATTCAAACGGAAAATGGATATCGAGCATGAATTTTGATTTTAATGCCAGTTAGTGTTTTGAGGTCTCCATGGCAAGTAAAACAAAAACATTTGCATACAAAGTACATTTTAACTCAATAAAACGAGCAACACGATGGCAATTTAGATAAATGTCTCTAGATAAAAGCGTATGGGTTTAATTTAGTACAAAGTACGCCTCCATTGGGTGCATTTTTGTCTTTCGTTCCAGACAAGTTGCCTGCTAACACGAGTCCAGGACATTAAGCAGCGTCTAGCTGAAGTAACAAATGAACTTACCCCTATGGTTCTACCAGTGGCTACTTCTGACGTTGTGACTGCTGTTACGGTAGGTCAGCAAGAAGTAAGCCACAGATTAGCCTCTCCAAGCGTCTCAAGCATTACCTCGACAACTTGCAACAACGGAGGCGATTGCACTAGCAGTGGGTGTTCGTGTTGCGAGGGCATGCTAAACTATCTTGCCTCACTTACATCCGATAACGCATCATTTGATCAGCCTCAGTGGCAAAATCTAAAAACACTGCTCAGTGGCCGGCGGCCCACAAAATATACCTCTGGATGTCCTAATATCGAAGTGGTTTTAAAGGAACTGGTAGCGGTGGCTAGCGAATTATCCACGTCTACAGTCCCAGTGACAGAAATGCAGGAAATGGAGAAGCGTTTGATGGAGGCTGATGCAGAGGTGCTGCGTCTGCAGAATCAGACGCAGGCCCTGCAAAAGCTACTGGACGACAGTTTCTTTGGACAGCCACTGTCGGGACACATGCAGCCACGACAGAGAGTGGCGTCAGAGGACCTTTCGCACGCAAGCGGCAACTCGGAGTCGGTTGTCGCCTGGCTAGACCTTGCAGTCTCACCGTTCACCTTCTCGGACGCGGAATCGGAGAGGCGTCAGGCTTCCACGCCCTATAAGCATCCCGGTGATCAGGCTATCGACGCTAAAGCCAGTCTTGATGCCTTGATTGCCGCCAAAAAGACAGAATTAGCCGAGGTTAGGCGTGACACCATCAACTGGGATTCGAAACACAGTCTCATTTGCGAGAAACAGGCAGAAATCCAGGATTTAATGGAAGCTGTGGCCAAGGCCTTTCCGTCGAACGATGATACAGCCATAGTTGAGGTGACAGATCTCTCAGACGAGGACACAACGATTGACGTCCCACGAATACAGTCCACTAGCCCCTGCAGTGTCACCGTGGAAGAGTTGGTGAACAAAGCCGAGTCATTGCGAAGCGATCTCGAAGGCTTTGACAAATCCACTGCCTCCCACCACGCAGACAAGCTCCAACCCTCTCTTGTTGCCCTTTCTGACGCACTGAAATCCGTCCTGGTTGAAGTTTGTCCTGACGCTCTTGAAAGCCCTACCAATGCTAAGTTGGTGAGTTTTTGACATTTTAGAAAACATCCCATTAATTTTTTGCTTTGGTTCATTTACTAGTGTGTTTACTAGTGTAGATCATGTACATTGGTCTGTTTTATGCTTTATCTTTTTATTATTATTCACAGAGAACCCGCGAAATTGATTATTGGCTGGACATCAGAAATGCCTTGAATACACTTCTTAATCATACGCCACTTTTTCACATTTTCAGAGCTACTTCAAGGATGCTCTTGGAAAACTGAAAGCCGAGGTAAACAACCTTCGCAATCAACAGATCGAAGTGCGTAGTGCTGCGTGTAGTTTGGGCGAATTCATGGCAAAGCAGCTTGCAGAATTGCAAGACACGGTAGTGATGAATGAGGCCAGACAGTTTCAGGAAGAAGAGGATCTTCAGGCGGTGCTTGATGAGGTGCTTGAACGCACTTTCAACACGCAAATTGACAGCGCCGTGCCTCGCCACGAACTTCTGAGGCAGATGTTCGAAGCACAGGAGCTAGAAATCGGACAGCTACACAGTGAGATTGAAGGTAAGCAGGTTGAACTCGAAGGCCTACAGCAGACCCTAAGTAGCCTTGAGCAAGAACTAGCTAGTAATACAGAGGCTGCGCAAGTACTCTGTGAATCTAGGCTTGAATTGATTGAGAGAGTAGCTTCTCTTACGGCAGACGATCTGCCTGGGGGCAGGTTTAATGAATTTTTATCCGAACTTCGGCAAAATGGTACATTAGTCGACCACTTGAAGAACGTTGATCTCTTCAACGAAGTCCTCGCTGAACGAATCACAGATTGGTTGAACAAACGCGAAGGCGATAATAAGTTAGCTCTTGCACAAAAGCAGTCTGAAATTGACCTCTTGCTAGTAAGACTAGCTGAAGAGGAAGAATTGCTCAAGAGTAATGCAGACGAAGCTGAAGAATTACGCACTCAGTTGATGATGCTACAGCAGAGCGTCCAATCGCCTCCAACCAGCACAGAAAAGGCCGTAGAAACGGCTTCTGACCAGGAGCACGACGAGTCGTCACCGCTTCTGCGCTCATTCCAGGACACAACTCAGGGTACACAATTGTCTCCTGCAGACAAAGCCCTATCACTCGGATCAGACGACTTCGAGCCGTTCACAGGTGCTGCTCAGGCGGCTGCGGTGACCGATTTGACGCCTGTTCGGGCTGGATTTGATGAACCCGGACAAATTGTCGAGGCATTGAAGGCCCAAGTGAACAGTCACGTCGACAGGATCTCCCAATTGGAAGCCCAATTGTGCACGCAAAACGAGGCATTTAAGTCGCAACTGGCCGAGGCCAGTGACAGGGCCAGTCAATTTACTGTAATCCAGAGCGCCTACGAAACGGACATTCAACAGCTCAAGACGGTTCTAAGACACAAGACTGATGAAATTGTTAACCTTACCAACATGCTGTCCTCATCGCGACGGGAAGTTGAGGAATTGGTTAGAACGATTGGTAGCCTCAAAGACGACACCGAAGCTCTGAAGATTGAGTTGAAGTCAGCTCAAGAGGAGACAGCTGCACGAACACATGAGTTGGAGCATGCGCAGGGTGTCCTTTCTGAAAGAGCACGTGAGTTAAGTGACATCAGAGAGGTGGTGGCAGATTACGACGATCGGTTGCAGAACTTCCGCTTCGTCCTTCACAACAAGGACAAGGACCTGAAGGAGAGAAGTAAGCAGCTTGATGCCCTGTCAAGTAAATTGCGAGAGAAGCAGTCAGAGGTTAAGGCAGTTACTGAAGACTTCGCGCAACTTAACGGCCTCTTCAGCAGACTTTGGAAGAACACACTGTTGGTTGACGAGTCCCCGAGTCGAGACGCTGGCTTGGCCCTTCGAGATGAGCCAATGCATGTCCTCAAGGCTTCGTCAGCAGTCGATCAATTCCTTGGGCTCCTGCTCTCCAAAGAACCAGATCTCGTTATGGGTGACTTGCAGGCCGGTGTGCAGGCGTATAAAGCCTTCCGACAGAAGCACTCACCTGGGACGCCGCGTGGTGACTCATCGACTTTCATTCGGGATGAGTCAGACCTACCCTGGAATCCGTGTTGTGTAGCCGCAGTTTCTGCTGTTGGCACTAGCATTGGGGACCCTATCACGTTCAATCTACTCAGGGACCTGGCCTACTCTGAATCATGCCGCGTGTGTCTGGCTAATCAACTGTCCAAGTCCGAGTCTCAAGTAGACCAGTTAAAGGGCATGTTAACCTCCCTGCGCGCCGAGGTCGAAACCAATCATTTGCAGTTAGCGGAACGAACACGGCAGCTCATTCTTCTTGGCATTGATCCAGCAGAAAGGGCGGCGACCAAGTCACCGGAGACCAGTGGAAACCAAACCATCTGTTATGTGGACACAGACGAAGCTATCGAGGCGGAAACCACAGTTCCTGTTCTTCAAAGGGCTGACGATTCGGTCTTTTGGAAGGATCACGCAGAACAGCTAGAATTGGAAAACGTCGAGAAGACTGGTATAATAGAGCGGCTAAATAAGTTGTATTTGGACTCCAAAACAAGCGTATCGCAGATGGAACAGCGCTGTGTGGAGGCCGATTGGGCAAAGCAAAAGGCACTAGAGAAGTTGGCACAAACTGAGACGTACCTACAGAAGTTAATCCATGACAAGTCCAGAACAGCAGACCAATCAAAAGCGGAAAGCCAAATCAGCGAGGAAGATGAAGACGAAAGAACGGGCAAAATAAGCCCAGATGTCGAAACGTTGGCTCAAATGCTCGACACCAATGCCACAGAGAAGGATATTATTCAAAAGGTTCAGCAAATGAAAGAAGAGATATTAGAGAAGGAGGCCGAAGAGGGAAGACTAAGGCAGCAGCTGCATAAAATCCGAGAAAAATTACTCAGCACACAGTCACACCTAGAAGAGCAATGGGAGACTGCACATAAATTGCAACAAGCAACACAACAGGACATCGACGAAAAACAATTGTATGTAAACAACCTCGAAACCATTAAGCAAGAGAATGAGAAAGAAATAAACAGATTAAGAGAAGAGCAGGATAAAATACAGCGCCAAGCTCAAGAAAAGGAGAACCAACTGTACGTCAATCAGGCCAATATGGTGGAATTAGAGAAGAGGTGTGAATGCCTAGCAAGTGAGAAGTCTGCCCTGGAGGGTAGGC